CATCGCCTCCCAAAGTGTAGATTACAGGCGTGAGCCACAACACGCCCCGGTCGCTGGACAGCAATGTTTTATTTTAAAATTCAGTATGTATTTAAGAATTTATTAAAACTGTGTTATTTCCCATCAGCATTCTTCACAGATATAGAAAAATTAATTTTACGCTGTTGTATGGACCAAAAACACCCCGATATTCAAGAGCAATTCTAGCCAGGCGCGGTGGTCACGCCTGTAATCCTAGCATCTGGGAGCCGAGGCGGGCGGCATTGCTCAGTCGGTCGAGTCGAACAACCAGCCCTGAGCGAGACCCCGTCTCTAACTAAAATAGAAAGAAATTAATTGACCATCTAAAAGATATATATACTTAGCAGGGCATGGTGGTCATGCCTGTAGTTCCCAGCTTACTGGGAGGCTGAGGCAGGAGGATCCCGCTTGAACCCAGGATTGAGGCTTGCTGCTTGAGCTAGGCTGACCGCCACGGCACATCACTTTAGCCTGGGCAACAAAAGTGGGACTCTGTCTCAAAAAAAAAAAAAAAAAAAGAGGCAACATTCCTAGGCAACAAATAAACAAAATGGGAGGATTAATATGCCAGATATCAAACTATACTACAAAGCTTAGTAATTAAAACAATCTGGTATTGGACAAAAATAGGATATTGACCAGTGGAACAGCTCTGAGAATCCTGATAAAAACCATCCTCATATAGCCATCTAATCTTTGACAAAGCAGACAAAAAATATACGCTGGGGAAAGAATCCTTTCAATAAATGGTGCTGGAAAACTGGATAGCCACCGTTAGAAGGCTAAAGCAGACCACACCTTTCACCTCTCACAAAAATCCACTCACGCTGGATAACAGATAAACCTAAGGTATGAAACTATTAGAATTCTAGAGGAAATGTTGGAACACTCTCCTAGACATCGGCCTAGGCAAAGAGTTTATGAAGAAGTCCCAAAGGCAATCACGGACACAAAAATAAATAAATGGGACATGATCAAACTACAAAGCTTCTGCAAGCAAAGAAATAGTTATGAAGTAACAGACAACCTACAGAATGGGAGAAAATTTTTGCATCCTACGTCACCGATAAAGGCTGATAACTAGAATATACTTAGAACTCAGAAATCAGCAAAGAAAAAATCAAATAACCCTATTAAAAGTGGGCAAAGGACTTGAACAGCAACTTTTCTAAAGAAGACAGAAGAATGGCCAACAACATATGAAAAATGCTGCATCATCTCTAATCATCAGGGAAATGCAAATCAAAAACAATGGATATCACTTAACCCCAGTGAGAAGGCCTTTATCAAAAAGTCTCCAATAACAAATGCTGGCGTGGATGCGGAGAGAGAGGAACACTCCTACACTGCTGGTGGACTCAAAACTAGTTCAACCTCTGTGGAAAAGCAATATGGAGATACCTTAAAGCGATACAAGTGATCTACCATTTGATCCAGCAATCCATTGCTGGGCATCTTACCCAAGATCCAATGACATCTACAAAAAAGACACCTGCACTCGAAGTGTTATAGCAGCACAATTCATAATTGCAAGGCTGTGAAACAGCCCAATGCCATCAATCCAAGAATGGATTAATAAAATGTGGTATATGTATACCATGGAGTACTATTCAGCTCAAGAAACATGGTGATATATCACATCTTATATTTTCCTGGTTAGAGCTGGAACCATACTACTAAGTGAGTATCCCAAGAATGGAAACAAGCACCAGATATATTTCTCAGCAAACTGGTATTAACTGAGTAGCACCTAAGTGGACACATAAGTACTACAGTAATAGGGTATTGAGCAGGTGGGAGGCGGGATGGGGGCGGGTATATATATACATAAGGAGTGAGATGTGCACCATCTGGGGAATGGTCATACTGGAAACTCAGACTTGTGGGGGGGGGGCATTTATTGAAACCTTAAAATCTGTTCCCATAATATGCTGCAATAAAAAAAAAACTGTGTTATTGAAAAGAGAGTTTCTTAACAGTTATTTTATTTAAAGGCTAGTCAGATAATAAAAATTAAAAAAAATACTATCAAATCTGACCTTCATCAAAGGATCAAGGAGATTAGTAAGTGACTGCAAAAATCATAGCTCTGGAATACAGAAGGCAGGTGAATTTAAATGTTTTCCTGTCTGACAAGTCTTCCAGTATAATTGTTGTGTCTCGATACATTTTAAACAGCCAGGAGAGTTAGCCTGGGACTTAGTAAAGTCCCGGTACAAATGAAAAAACAGGAGCTTTCTTACTAAAGGGGAAGATTCTTTCTATACCAATAAAATAAAATATATATGAGTTTGATATAAAAACAGTTAAAACCTAAGAAAACCCCTAATAGGCTTCAATCCATTCTTTTAATGTTAGCAGAATGAAGGAAGATATTTTACTTATTTTTCCTTTTTTAAAAAAAAACACATTAAAGAACAGGTAGCATTCCATACCTTTAGCTGTTATAAATTTTGTACATAGTAAATTTTCACTGTGGTTTTTCTTAAAACATCCTTATTGAGATAAAGTTTGTGTATGCCTACACTACAACATGAATGAAAATAGTGGCTTTGAGACCTATGTTTATAATAATTTTTTGGAAAATTTTTTTAACCAAAATCTTCATGTGTTAAAATTCATTTTCATGAAGCATTACAAAATAAAATCTACAAAATCATCTTTAGAAGCCTTAAAAATTATTTCTGATATATACATTATACCTTCCTAACAATTTAGATAGGTTTATATGTTGATAAAAACCCCAAATAAGGATTAAAATATAAAAAGAAATTTTAGGCCGGGCGCGGTGGCTCACGCCTGTAATTCTAGCACTCTGGGAGGCCAAGGCAGGCAGATTGCTCGAGGTCAGGAGTTCGAAACCAGCCTGAGCAAGAGTGAGACTCTGTCTCTACTATAAATAGAAAGAAATTAATTGGCCAACTAATATATATAGAAAAAATTATCTGGGCATGGTTGCGCATGCCTGTAGTCCCAGCTACTCAGAAGGCTGAGGCAGCAGGATTGTTTGAGCCCAGGAGATTGAGGTTGCTGTGAGCTAGGCTGACGCCATGGCACTCACTCTAGCCTGGGAAACAAAGCGAGACTCTGTCTCAAAAAAAAAAAAAAAAAAGAAATTTTAGAAAAAAACTTTGGTTGTTCTCATATCATATATGCCATATGATGATTAAAATAACAATCATGGGTTTTATAAAACAAAACAAAAACAAAATTATATCTTCTCATCTATAAAAGCACTGGCATACAAACTTGAAAATGAAATACAAAATGATACAAATGGTCTAAATGTTAAAAAAAAACCTTAAAAAGTCTTAATTTGTAAAATAAGAGTGGAATAAAATATATCTGATAATGTACTTTTGTTGTTAGAAAGTCTTATCTGGAAATAATTATTGGTGGAAATTCTCATTATCTATTACACTATCACTTGAAACAGACACAATCAATTTATTCAGACAATAACTGAACTAATAAACTATATGTTAGTCACCACATATTATAACCCATTGTGACTTCATGACAATAACAGAATATAGAGTATGTCAAAGTTAGACATGTTCCTAAGTTCTTGCTCTGAAGTCAACCTAAAATTGGAAAATATTTTATCAGTAGACAGAGACAATGGGCATCTTTTTACCCTGTTTTGTATAAGTCTGCATCACTAGTTGTAGTAGTTTCCTAAGGGTTGTTGCAACAAATTACCATAAAGCAAATGGTTTACAACAACAGAAATTTATTACCTCATAGTTCTGGATTCTGAAAGTCCAAAATCAAGGTGCTGCTAGGGTTGGTTCCTTTGGAGTGTTAAGAGGAAAAGATCTATTGTAGGCCTCTTTTTTGGTTTGTAGATGCATCACTTCAATCTCTGCCTTCATATTCATGTGGTATTCTCCTTGAATGTATGTCTTTATGTCCAAATTTCTCCCTTTTATAAGGACACTAGGATGGATTAGGGTCCACCCTAGTGACCTCATCTTAATTACATTTGTAATTACCCTTTTTCCAAATAATATCACATTCTGATGTACTGGGGGTTAGGACTTCAATATATGAATTGTAGTGGTACACAATTCAACTCAAAACACCAGTCTACAACATATGAGCCTGAAATAACTTTTTAGCTGTAGGTAAAGCAAGAGAGTAAGTGTTCTATTAATAGAAGAAATATTTATCTGTCTTTCAATTCAAGCTTCTCAATGAATTCCTGAAATGGTGCCAACTCTAGCCTATCAATCAAATTGAACTCTTGAACAAATAAAGTAAAGTACTTAATGTGAAACAGGTTCAGTGTGCACTGATAACCAACTTGTCGCAGTCCAGTGAGATAAAACATCCACCCACACAACGAGTTACGGAAGTGGGTTTATTACTTATAGATAGGCAACAAGGGACAACAAAATCCTAGGATTCATTGTGAGCTAGTCCCTCAGTCCTCCGCATAGCTGCCTGGGGAAGATGGAATCTTGTATGCCTGTGACCCACTTGAACCACAGCTGAGTGATCCCAGAAGCACCCCACCCTGGGTTTTATACCCAAGGGCTGTAGCAATCATTGGGCTAAAGCATATAAGGACATCCTATTTCTGGGAGGGGACTAGAAGAGAGCCCTATCTGAAGATGTTGCATTCCCAACACATCCTACAGTTATTCTTGAGAACTTTAAGTGATAAAGGAAGAAGAACTGGGTTGGTCCAAGGCCACCCTGATATCTGTCCTACACTTGGAGGTGTTGCCATAGGCCTTTTCTGGCAGTTGTACCACAGAATCAAGATGCTGGTAAAAAATACGAGCATAAACTTTGAATAAACAGCTTAGAATAGTCTTTGTTACAGATCTAAAGTTCTTGGGAAATGGAACACCAATCGTAGTAGGAAAAAGAGCTTCATGATCAAGCTAATTCTAAACCTATATCATCAAATAGTCAATATGTTTGGGACAAAACATTTGACTGGCTTTTTAATATTAGTACCCTCTGCCCCATAGATCTTGCAGACATGATTAAATAGCTTGTTTCAGTGCAGAGTTCTAATCTGTTGAAGAAATCCACAGTGTTAACTGTTATCCATTGGATGAGATCCTCTTCTTCTGGCAACATAACAGCTCTGCTCACATTCTCGCTTCTAAAAATACTTCTGCATGCTTTAAGTGTTCATACTCATGAGACTTCAGAGATATTCTCTGCCTTGAGTGTTTTAGAAGAATGGCTGCTGAAGAGGAAGCTCATCTTCTCTCTCAATGGCTGGGAGAGGCTACCAGACTCTGCTGCAGTCAGTATTCAGAGCCAGCACCTGGGAACAGAGAGGAGGTGGACAGCCCTCAGTTTGTGGACAGTAAAGCCTAGGCTACCACTGCTATGAGCTGGGATTAAACTGATGTAGATACTGTGCTGCCTTCCCCACCTCACTAAACAGAGGATTGAACCCAGCTACATCTCACAAGAGAAGCATTTCCCCACATCACAATTATAACATTTGACATCAACCAAATATACAAACAAAAAAATCATGTAAATTGTGGCACATTATATTAAGGGGAAGAAATAAATTCTATAAAGAACCAGTTTCCTCATCTATAAAATGGGATAATATGCTGTATGTCTGAAGGATTTTATAGGATAAGGCATAAAAAGTACTTTGTATAGCGTTCTGGTATTCAGTAATTGTTTAACATAAGTATTAGTCAGGGCTCTCCAGAGAAACAGAACCAATAGAAGATATATATTTATCATAGGAATTGGCTCATGTGACTAGGAAGGCCAGGAAGTCCCACGATCTGCTTTCTGCAAGCTGGAGAACCAGGAAAGCAGATGGTATAATTCAGTCCAAATCCAAAGGCCTGATAACAAGGAGCTCGAATGTTCAAGTGCAGAAGATGGATATCCTAGTTCAAAAAGGAGAGAGTGAATTCACCCTTTCTCTACCTTTTTGTTCTAGCCAGGTCCTTCACAGATTGGATGAGGCCCACCCACATTGTTGAGGGTGGGTCTTCCTTACTCAATCTACTAATTGAAATGTTAATCTCCCCCAAAAACACTCTCATAGATATACCCAGCAATAATGTTTTGCTAGCTATCTGGGCATCAACTTGACCTTGGCCCAGTCAAGTTGACACATATATAAATTAACCATCATAACACCTATGAGCTTTTTTGATATTATTACATTTTTGCTAATAGTAATTCTAAATTATATATCTCTTATATCAAAATGTCTGCTGATTTATAGTAAAGGTTTATTCTTAGGAATCTACAGTCTTATTTAAAATAGTCTTTTCTTCATTTGGAAAGCATTTTTGGCATATGTGCCTCCTTCTCAAAGGTAACCCTTGAGAGAGAGGATGGCAATAGGAGGGACGCTGCAGTCATGGGCAGCCTTGGTGCCATTCCAAGAGCAACCCTGTGTGAGTGGGAAGGACTAGAGTGGCTCTTTTTGAGTAGAAAAGGATGGAGATCCTTCCAGTGTGAGGCACAGACAGGGTTAACTGTGGCTTTGTGCTGCGATGTGTCTCTGGTCTCTTCTGCAATTTATCTCTGCTCATGAATTTGCAAGCAGATGAAACATTTCAAGCCTGCTAGGGCTTTAAAGTCCATCTTGTCAATTTCCCCAAACACCACTTAGATCCCTTCCATGGTGTCTTCATATCAAGAGCCATTTGAATGCATCTTTCCCTTAGAAGAAAGAGCTATCACTCCGCTTACTTGAGGAGCACTTTATGAGGAATTTCAGGCACTGCCTTAATTAAATGGGATCAACATATACTTGAAAGACCTATATAAAGTATGAAGTAGAATTCCAATTTACGCAAAGATTCTCCTGGTCTGTCATAAAACTGAAGATGAGAATAACAACAACAATATAACAGCTGAATTCATTAAATCAGTCCTACACAGTAAAAGGTACATACTTTACCTATTGTCTCATGTAATTTTGACAATCTGCACATGTGGGATATACCATTATTTCCATACACAGAGGTGCAAACCAAGGCGTAGAGAAGTTGCAAATGTTGTCCAAGGACCTATTAGATTAATAAAGGCTATGTGATCGTTTATTTTTTTCTAAAAATAATTCTGTGTATGTACTTCTTTAGAGTTTACAAACTTCTTTGGCACACATTATTTCCATTTGATTTTCATCCCACATACTCATGAGAGTCTTCTCCAAATATATCTTGCCTGCCATCTACTTTTGTGTCTTTCATTAGGAAACTGATATGAAAAGCATATCCAAAGCTGGAAATAATTATCTTTAGAACATCACCCACATCTTAGAAAAAAGGGACTTGAATTTGGGCCTAAGTGCTGCCTCCATAAGTTGTTCTGAACCAAAGAAAATTTCTTAGCCAGGTTTTGGTAAAGAAGCAGAGAGTCTCCAATATTCTCAAAGAGCCCTTAAAATGGTTAGCAACTTAGCATAAACTGCTCTGCCCAGCCCACCCCCTTTTTTTTTTCACTGAAATTACAAGGAAGCCAGGTGGAGCCAGGAGCTGGAAGGTTCCTTCCTGACCACTAGAAGCCAGCAAGCCTCAGTCAAATCTCCAAGCTATAGTGTGCTTTTTCTTACAGCAACTGTCTAGTTGATTCAATATGAGGAAAATGATCCTGGAATGTTTTTAGGAGAAAAGACATATGGTTTCAATTTTTACCACTACTATGACTCTGGTTTTTAAGGCTTCCCAACACTTCCCTGAAAGTCAGTCTTAAGCAAATTAAACAAGAATGTGTCTTTGGGGTGTCTCTCCACATTTTCCAAAAGCTCCACATTCTCCTTTTTATCATAATGCTTTATTTCCTCCCCTTCCCTGTTTGAAACAACAATAATAAAAAAAAACTTTTATTCTCTTTTTTTCCCTCCAATAATTTAATTTCCTGAACGCAATAATGTCTCTCCACTTCCTCACTTCTCTTGAGGTTATGCGCCTGTCTCTCTGTTTTTCTTTCTATGCTCTTTTTATAATTTTTTATTTTACTCTAAGAACATTAAGCATGAAATATATCCTCTTAACAAAAATTTTAAGTGTACAATACAGTATTTTTTTTTTTTTTGCAATCACACAAGAGGAGGTTTATTTTCTGGCTAGCCAGGGTCCAAGCCCCAGAGCACCAACGCAGTGGCCACTCTCGCAGGCAAGGACTACAATACAGTATTGTTGACTATAGGTATGATGGTTACTCCTCTCTTCCCCTTTGTGCTGCACTTCTAGAAATATACACTCCCTGGGTACATAAATTCACCCTCACTGTTTAAACCACCACCTATAAGCTGGTGACTCACAAACCTAATAATTTTGGCCCACGCCTCTCCTGCAAATTTCAAAGTTCTATTTTTCACAGACTGTCAGACATTTACACATGGGAATATCACCAGGACATCAACTGAACCTCTCCTATACACTATTTATCATCTTACAACTACTCAGCCCTTGCAGAAAGGACCTCCCTAAATACTGCTGAATTAAAGGACAAACCTGCTGCTACTTCTCCTGAGTTACCAGTCCCAGTTGCAAACAACTATAATTTGATCATGCAGTCACCATACCTAGGAATCATTCTTTCCTTCCCTCCCAGAAATTGATTTGGGACCACCAAATCAAACAGCTCTACCCCTCCCCAGAAATATCACTCAAATCCAGCCTGTCTATTCCATTTCTATTACTTTACTTAAGGCCCTAATAATCTCTTTCCTCAGCTCCTATGCAACCTCCCAACTTGATTTCCTTGCTCCAGTAGTGTGCTTTTCAAGTCACCCTGCACACGGCTGCCTGAGTGATGTCAACATAATGGCATCACTCCTGGCTTATACCCTTGAATGGCTCCATGGACTACGGGAGGAGGCATACATTCCTCAGCATGGCACCATGCCCTTCTCAATATGACCTTGTCGATCTGGCCAGCCTCATCTCCTCCCATTCTTTGCCTTGTTAAAAAAAAAAGTAATACAACTGCAGTTTCCCCAAATATACTCTGCTCTTCCTCACCTGGATACCTTTGTTTATATTCCTCCTTGGCTGGGAATGCGCACCCCTAACCCATTGGCTTCCCTTCATCTGGTTATCTTCTCACCACCATTTGAGACTTACACAAATACGTAAAGAAAAAACATTGAATAAAGATATCCTGAGGCTACAAAAATTGATAACTGCTAGATAAAACCAAATGTCATTAGGTCATTTACAAGGTAAAGCAACAGTATCATGACTTTCAGTCAGTTTGATTCAGCGGTATGAATAACTGATCTAGAACTTCCTTGAATATAACATTAATAATTTTTGGAAGAATGAAAAAGAGCAAGAGAAAACCAAATTTAGGGTGCATAAGGTCTGGTCACCCAAGGAACAAAGAATCCATAGAGTTCCGTGTTGTCATATAACATCTATTAACAACTTTAATTTACTTTAGACTTCGCAATGAATCCTGCATACCCTCAAGAGAAGGACCAAACAACAAGAGTAAATTAAAGGCTCTTTAAGTAATACCAAATTCAAGAATAATGAAGGCAAAGATATGGCTCTGAATACAAGAGAAGACAGAGCAAAAGAACCAGACAGGCGGTTTTCAAGACAGGAACTACACAGAAACATTTCTTTGGCATTGGGAGGGAAGTGAAACTATAACAAAAGGCAAGGAGAGTGAAAAAGCTCACCCTGAATTTTTCTTGAATTTTTCTTTAACTTATGAAAAAAAACTGAATTAACTTTATATCCCTCATTTTGTACCTTTAAGCAGCTCTGCTATAATTTTTTCTTTAAGAGAACCAACCATTCTGATCTTGGAAAATGGCCATAGATATTTTTCAAGGTAATATAGGTATTGCTGGAACACAAATAGATAAGCTAGTTTATACAGGGAAATCTTGTTATTGCAACTATTGTCTCAAGGTCATATACATGCTGAGAATATATCAAGATTTTGGATGAGTCTGGGGCTTGACAACAAATGATATCCATGGGATGCCTTTTATACATTGTCTTGTCCAAGGCAGAGTTGACTATTTTGAGTCAGAAGATCTACATTTGAACCTGGTCTGCCACTTGCTGACTGTTAGATCTGTGGCAAGACATTTTAAGCTCTCTGAGCCTGAGATTCCTCTTTATAGAAAGAAGACAAGTTCTTCCTTGCAGAGATTTTAGAAAGATTAAATGATCTAAAATACATTAAAGTTCTCTAAGCATAATAAAATGATACATAAATGATAGCTATCAGTACTTTTTACCAACTCTCTCTTATGGGAATATAAGGAAAAGATAGATTTCTTCCAACTGCAGGGATTATTTTGAGCAATGTCACAGAGGATGGGTAGGACTTCTTTGTCAAATATGGCAGTGGAGGTGTGGGGGTTAGCAGCTAGGCTGAGAATCAAGCTTGAGCTTGACCCAGAAAGTGAATGAAAGCAAAACATACTCAGAAATACTAGCTACAACAACATAGCCAGAACACAGGGAATACAAAAGGAGATGAAATTGAAAAAGCAGGTCAAGAGAAAATTGTGGAAGGTTTTAAATGGCCATTTGAGAAGCTAGATTTTTTTCTATATGCAGAAATCCAATGAAAGGAGAATGCTGTGATGGGTCTTGGTTCTAGAAATCTGTATAACTAAAGTCAGTATGGAGGATTTTTTGGAGAATGGGAAAGAGACTAAAGGGAAGTCAACCAGATAAGGAGCCATGGTCACAGGTCAAAGGTATTAAGAGCTAGAAGGCAGGCAGTGGTAGCAGGAAGCAATGGATGAATGAATAGCAATTTGCTTTTTCATCCTGAGGTGATATACTCCTTGAGGGCACTGGTCTCAGACACACTGTGTTGTCTTGATTAAGAGATGAAGTATTTATGTGTAACAAATCTGAGCAACAGCTACTCTAAAGATTTGCCTAGTGGCATTTGTCTGAAGAAGGCACACAATGAGTTACAAGTAATCATGTGCAAAAGTTGTTTAAACCAAGGGATCTGTGATATGATAAATATAATGCAAAAGTAAAAGTCCAATGATATGCATTATCCTGACACCACACAATACCCCAGATTTTTACATCTTTGTCCTCTCTGAAGTCATTGTGAATTTTCTTTAGCCTTTTTCCTCTTCTACAATTTATGCTACCTTTTTAAGTGATGGTTGACAATTGTAATTGTCATTTCTCTGTTCCCAAATATGACCAAGCCAATGAGCCTCCTTTTAAAAATGCTTTGAGATACATAAAATAGATGGCTAAACTCATGTACAAATCACCTAATCATAAAATTAAATGACATTCCTTGTAATTTAAATTTTATTCTTACAAATAAAATCTAAGACTCTGAAATACATGCAACAAATCAGATACCACCATCAGCACTGATTCTTTTCACATCTAAATATGAGTTCTCAATTACACTGTTGCATTTATTTTCTTCTTTCAATTTAAAAATGTAAATCTGTAACTGTAGATAAATAAATTACTTTAGAAAACAATTAGACATAGAATGACTCTAAGTAAAGATTCCTGGTATTTTTCTATAAGGTGCAAGTGTATGCACTATGCATATCAAGTTTGTCATACCAATGACAAACTAGAAAGAACACTCACCTGTTTTCTTCCTCAGGATCTGCTAGGATGCTCTCTAGCTCCTTCCCTTCCTCACTGTGTAAAGAAATCAAGATCTGAGCAGGATTATGAGGCTTGTTCATGGGGGAGTCCTGGTACAAACTTTGGCAGTAATGCTGGGTTAACAAATGTTCACTATTTCTGAAAAACAAATCAAAGGTTTTGTTCCTTCTCCCGCTCCCCCACACTTATTTTGCTTTGGAGATCAGGAAACTGGAGATGTATTAAAAAATATAAATATAAGCTTTTGATAATTATGTCTTTTTTTCTAGCTTTTAAAAACATTTTGAAACTGTTAAAATGTGGTTTAACATGCTATTTGTGATAATTTAAAGTGTTTCTTGCTCAGATTTTATTTCCAGTTGAATTTGGCATATTCATGTGGGGAAAGAAAGCCAGCAGCACCACAGTTTTAAAAGGCACAGTGGCAAGGTGGGCCCCCAAAGGGATGCTCTCGCGCTAGTCGTGAGCCTGTTCCTCTCGTCCCCTCCAGCCTGGCTCACCCCTCGCCGTGGCTGCGCTGTTCCACCAACTCGGCCCTCCACTGAGACAATAACCTTGCCATGTGCTCTCAGCTCCATGGTTGGCTGCTGCCGTTTACAGGCTAGCGGACCATGCTCCTTCACACAACACAGCCAATTTCTACGAATGGCTCCAAGAGGGCATGACGCTGCACCCCCAAACGCCCTGTCGGCCGCCGGCGCCCCCTTCTGGCTGGCGGACTCCTACACGCCACCGCCACTGTCAACGACAGGACTTCTGACTTCCGGTGCAGCTGCCCTCTGCTCTGCTGGCGCCCACTGCTGCCCTGGGCCAGCCAGGAGGACCGTGTAAAGATGGCACAGCCGCCCTACTTGTACTCAGCATTCTTTGTTATAGCCATCCAGAGTGTGCCCATGCTCATGCCAGTTCGTGGCCAATAATTTCCCTGCCTACCAACACAGCAAGGCCGGTTGGCTGAGCTTCACTCACCAACTGACGTGGTTCAAAAGATGACCATCCAGGGAGAGACAATTACTGGACACTGGATCCAAACTCTGGGAAACTGGCAATCGGCACTTCCATCGGAAGCTAAATCACTGTTTTGAGGCCGGCAGCAGCTCCTCAGCGGCTGCAGGGACATCAGAATCAGAAGGGCTTTTCTCAATCTTGAGGTCTGGAGTTGACGAGAAGACTGAAGGATACTGTCCGTCCTCTTTAGGTAGCGTCAAAGGCACTAGTGTCCTCCAGGAGGATGCATGCCCACTTCCACTCGCAGCCTCAACACCTTCTTCAGCAGTCACAGTATTAAGCATCAGCAGCAGTGGGGACACCCAGCAAACTGACCCTGACAGCTGTCAGGTGGGGATCAGAGGCCCAGTTGCCCTCCAGCAGTATCTCCTCCCCCTCCAACTGCATCTCAGAGGCTTAGTCAGACACCTCGTGGTAGAATAACAGTGCCAGCAATAGCAGCAGCCAGAAGTTTTCCTATTATGACCCTTTCTCCTCCAGGAAAGGCCAGAGCAGATCTTTCAGCAGCCCTATCTACAACTTCAGTATGGGCAACGGCTGTATCCACCCCTGGGAGGGTTCTGAGGTATAGAGCGGTGCTTCTCAGACTTTAATATGCACACTTGGTTATCATGTTAAAATGCAGATTCTGATTCAGTAGGTCTGGGCTGGAGCCTGAGACTCTGCATATTTATTGAGCTCCCAGGAGATGCTGTGGTCCATCAACCATATGTGAAGTAGCAAGACTGTTGGTGGCTCTTTCTACAACCCTAGAGGGTTTACAGGTTTCTCTGCATAAGGACCTGCCCAGAGAGAAATTCACTTCATTCTATTTTGGCATATCTAGCATATAAGCCCATAAAGGCAAGGACCATGTCTGTTTTGTTAATCACCGTATGCCAAGGTTGCAAACTCAGATGTGTACCGGGGCCTGTTTAATAACATAAACAAATTTGCTGGGTATAAGAAAAATAACAGCAATTACAAATGGCAACTGAATCAGTAGCAAGTGGTTGGGACTGACCACCTGGAGTAAGCTGTGGGTGGCTGGTTACTTCCTGTATGCCAACATTCTGATTTTTCTGAAAAAGACAAGTATCTGGGTTTTCATATAAAATAGTCAACTATTTTGGTTATTTGCCTTTCATGAAAACATTTAAAATACTGTATTGGGAAATACCACAAATCTTTGAACTATTAATATATCCAAGTCACAAGTCACCTCTTCTTCTGTTTGGTGTCTGATACATGGTAGGTACTGATGGGGTTCAGAACACACTACCTAAAAATACGACACCTTGGCATTTGAGGAAACAGTAGAAGCAGGAAGGTCACTGTCACCTTCCTCTCACCATGAAGCAGATGGTAAAACCTAGCTGACCTTTCTCTAAAGTAAATAATAAGACCCTCATTCAAGAGGTATTCTCCCTATACCCAGAGGAAAGGAATGCCCTTATCTATAAAGACACAAGGACACAGAGAAGACTCTACACAAACATGCCTTGTTAAGTTCCCCCAGTTTATTACCATTAGATCATACCCCCTTTGTTCAACCATACTTCTGCATGCTTGTCCACTCTTCATCAAACTTAGCATAAAAATACACTTTTCCCTGTTTCTTTGGGCCTTCATTTCCGAAGGCTCCCATGCCATGTAAAACTTGTATTAAATACATTTGTATGCTTTTTTCTTTTTAATCTGTCTTTTGTTATCAGAGCTTCAGCCATGAACCTTGCCATGGTGAGGAAAAGATATTACTTTTTTTCCCTATAGTTTTTGGCAACCCACATGGGATAGCTGAGACAATCCACTTGCTCCAGAGCCTGCAGATGAGATCCTGGGACGATTGACAAAAGCCAGTGAAAGGTAAACATTTTCACCAAGGTCAGCTCTCTCATATATCTGGTTGAGAGAGGAAGGTTGCAATTTCTTCTTGTCCCTTCCTTTCCAAATTTAGATTAGCAAAAGAACAACACTTGTTTGGATTGTGACTCTTGTGTAAATATGGTTTTGGGGTGCCCATTTGTTACATCCTTTTCCTCCCTTGCTATTGCCTTCTTGTTTGTCTCATTTGTGTCCCAATAACCTGGCTTGACTTTCTACCCATCAGGGTGTGAGTTGTCAGTTTGCATATGCAGGCGGCCAAGTTCAGGGTGGGGGCCTTAAGAATATCACCAGACAGAAATGTGTGCTGCACTCTATTTGAGGGGCTAATGTACTGACTGTTGCCAGTTCAGGGTTGGAGGGAGAGTAATATGTCTTTCTTTCTTTTAGCTATCTTTGATAGTGGTTCTGGATCTTGGAAGGGCTACATTTTTTGTACCCTCATTTGAGGATACCTCTTGTGTCCATGGTTCAGTCATAAAAGGCTTATTGGTTTTGGCTCTAAATCACTTAATAGATACCTTTGTTTTAAAAGAAAAAAAAGGAAAAGAGAAATTAAAGACTGCCAGGAATAATATTTATTTATCCTGATTGAAACCTGATAATAAGTAGTTGAAAGGATTTTTTTTTTAAGAATTCTATCATCAGAGGTGGCTTAATTGGAAGTTAATATTCAGGCTATATATTTTTTTGAGGCATCATTGTTCTCTCTGTTGGATTCTGCTTCTCCCATGGGAATTTCTCAGTTAACTGAAACCCTCTTCTTGAACTCCTGCTGACTATATGGTGTACCAACTCTGCTTACCTGCATCTTGTTGAAACTTCATTGGCCTCTGTGAGAAACTTAAGAAATCCACAAACTGGCTCCTAGAAGACCTCTTCTTTCTGTTTACTTCTGTTCCTCCTTCCTCCTTTTGCTACCTTCAATCTTCCATTTAGTTTCCTTAAATCCTTTATAGATTTCCCTGCAAGACCCTAATTCCTCCATCCTTCTCTCTACCTCTGCCAGACCTTTTCCCTTCCCATTCCAGACCCTCGGTCAGTCACTTGAACTTTAAGCTCTTTTCTCTCAAGGAACTCCAGGTCTCCAAAAAACAATTATCTGAGGCTAAAAAGAAAAAAAAGCCTAATTAGAAAAAGACTGAATGATAGCTGGTAGATGTCTCCTCAGCCACCTAAAATTTAGTCCACATCTTCCATAAGATTGACCTCTGAAAATAAGCTAATATGCCCCAAAACTTCCTCTTAGGGAAAACATGGATCCTTTCTCTGTGTGCTTGAGATGTGAATTCCCTACCCTATTTTCTCTAGGACCTGACAGTCATCTTTTTGAAATACAAATTTTAAGGAAATGACTGTCATGAGGTATGAAAAAAAGGAACTATTTAGAAACTAGGAAAATGGAAAATCTTGAAAAGTCTTTTCCATAAACACAGTCATCCCTCAGTATCTGAGGGAGATTGGTTCCAGGACACTCTACCAAAAATCCATGCATGCTCAACTTCCTTATATATAAAATGGCATAGTATTTGCATATAACCTACACACATCCTCATGTACACTTTAAATCATCTCTACATTACTTATAACATCTAATACAATGTAAATGCTATATAAATAGCTGTTATGCTATATTGTTTTATTCATATTATTTTTTATTGTTGTATTGTTATTTTTATTGTTTTTTAAATATTTTTCAATCCACAGTTGGTTGAATCCACATATGCAGAAACTGCATAGACATCTGAGTCAGTAATCTTAATTTGTTCCATCTGCCAGAAACACAATTTGGATCCAGCCATTCTCTTATAAACTAGTGAGTTTTGTATTATTTACCTGACACATGGCTAAACTTTTAGAATGAAAGCTATGAGATCTTTGCATCTGTGTGTATGTTTATATATGTGTGTGTGTGTGTGTGTGTGTGTGTGTGTGTGTGTGTGTATATGTTTGTTAAGTATATGTGATATTTCTCTACTTCTGGGTGGTATTGCCAAATTAATTTTTACTTCCTTAAAGGAATTCTGTTAAAATTGGCTTAGAGATAAATAACCACTTGTATAAACTAAATATTTCTAAAACTCTCAGAAATATAGAAACTAATCCAAATGTTCTTTTTTATGTTCAGATGATCTGGGATAATTGTTGGTAAATAAAGATAGTTTTAAAATTCTTGATAAAATAAAAACAGAAATGTCTCCGGAATGGTCAATATTAAATATAATGCAGGCATACTTTTTATTCTACTTAGGTTTAGTCATCAAACAAGCTGATGTTATTTCTACTAGATTTTTAAGATGATAAAATTATAAATACAACCTAGGAGCAATATGTACAATAAAAAATGAATTTTTTCATGTGTTTGTTGGCCATTAGTCTGTCTTCTTTTGAAAAGTTTCTGTTTGTGTCCTTTGCCCACTTTTTGATAGGGTCATTTCATTTTTTCTTCCTGATTTTCCTGACTTCTATATAGATTCTACTTATCAGTCCTTTATTGGAGGTGTAACACGCGAATATTTTCTCCATTCTGTAGATTATCTGTTTGCTCTCATGATAGTTTCCATGGCTGTGCAGAATCTTTTTAATTTGATAAGGTACCATTTATTTATTTTTGTTGTTGCTATGATTACCTTTGGGGACTTCTTCATACATTATTTGCCTAGGCCAATGTCTGTAAGAGTTTCTCCAACATTTTCTTCTAGAATTCTTATAGTTTCACACCTTAGGTTCACGTCTGTTGTCCACCG